AGGAAGATCGCGTCCATCTTTCCTTCGTAAAGCGCCGCTCTCTCGTCCTGCTCCTCCAGCTCGGCCGCTCCGTAGCGGCGCTCGTTCAGGTCGACGTCGTCATCTGGTACGGAAGTACGCGCCCCTCTGGCTGCGCTGCACGGCTTGCACGTCCTTGGCTCGAGGAGCTGCGGATCAACCCGCTTCTTTGCTGGCTTGGTTTGACAGTCTGCAAAGAAGTGCCCTGCTTTGCCGCAATCCAAACACTCCTAGGCGCTTCGCTCTTGTGCGACGGGGGTTTGGCCCTGGTCGGCTGCATTCAGGTCCTCCGCCTCTTGAGTAGGATGATCAACTGCTCCCTCGCTTAGAGCGGCGTCCCGGACGCTCAAGACCATGCGGACTGTAGGGTGGGTGGGTGGGGTAATTCCAGGATCCTCCGCCGTACGAAATCGCGGTGAGTTGTTCTGCAACCAGCGGAGTGAAATAAACGCTGGGATGGTGTCATCAAACCGCTGCCAGGGAGGTGGGTGCCGCAAGCGGCGCCACAAGGGGTCCTCGTCCCGTTCCACCTGTTGTACGCCTCATGTACCTCAGGAAAGCGGACGGCCAGGTCAGCAATCATGATCCTCTCGTGCGCTAAGCGTTCCTGCAATTGCGAGCGCTTCCTGTGCCAAAAGCGGAGCTCGCTCTTGGCCCCGCGCAGCAGGTTGCGGAGTCCTGTTTCCGTCTCCTGCTGTTCCGGGTCCTCGGGAAAGCGCGTGAGCGGATCCCGCTCTTCCGGAGTGGCGATGTCGAACGTTTCGTACAAGTCCTCCTCGCCGGGTGGCAAGGTTGCAGGTGCGGGCAGCGCGGGAAACGGTGTGGCATTCTGTTCGTAGCTTGACGTGTGCGGCGTCCGTGGCTGGGTTTCCTGCGTGGATTCTCGCTCAGCGGAGACCCAGGGGGGGTCCTGGCCTTCGGTTTGGGTTGCCCGCCAGCGCGGATCCTGGCGAGCGGGCTTCCACAAAGCGTAGTCCTCCAGCAGGCTCGGCCACGTCCGGGCGCGCGCAATCGCAAATCGCCGCTCTGATTCGAACCTCTGAGTTCGGGCTCGAGCCAGCGTGTGCGCATACTCAATGGCTTTCTTGAGGGCGTGGTTGCAGCGCAGCTCGAGCGGCGTCTGGGCAGCACGGGGAGGACGTGGCACGTAAAAGCTGTCGCTGTCGCTGTCGCTCGTGTCGGTGCCGGACGTCGACCACACGGGGCTGAAGGACTCGTCCTCTGTGTCCGTGTCAGGTGCGGGGCCTGATCCCCGCAACATGCGGACTGTGGGCGCCCCGCAAATTGGGCCTGGTGCGCTGGACAGGTCCGGTGCCACGTAGGCCGGCATGTCTTCCAGGTCGCTGGCCTCTTCCCATGGCAGCTGGGCCACGGGGTTGCGCGACAGCGGATCCACGTTCGAGTGCACTCGGCCGGGGCGGTACTCGACCCTGAAGTTGAACTCCATCAGGCGGATGTGCCAGCGCGCGAGTCGTCCTGTCAAGTTGGTCTGCTGATGCAACCAAACCAACGGGCTGTGGTCAACCCGCACCAGGAACGTGGGCCCGCCGTACAAGTACGACCGGAAGCGGACGGTCACCGCCCAGACAATCGCCAGCAGCTCGCCGTCCGTGGTGGAGTAGTTAGCTTCTGCGCCGTGCAACGCCCTTGAAGCGAAGGCTACGGGGAGCTCGCGATCGGCCCCGTCCAGCTGGCTCAGTGTGGCGCCAATACCCAGGCGGCTATAGTCCGTGTCCAGGATGAATGGCTTGTTGAAATCTGGGCGCGCGAGCCCCTGCGCTGCGCATATGGAGTCCTTCAGGGCCTGAAAGGCTGCCCGCTCTGCCTCCTCCCAACGGAACGGAACCCCGTCCTTTGTCAGCTCGTGCAGAGGCCTCGCTATCTTTGCGAAGTCTTTGATGAAGTGCCGGTAGTAGCCTGCCATACCCAGAAAGCTGCGGATCTCGGAGGGATTGATGGGATCAATCCAGTCGCGGATTGCGCGAACCTTCTTAGGCGCGGGTAGCAGCAGGTTGTGCGTGACGAGGTGACCCAGGTGCTCGGTCTCGCGCGCGCCGAAGTGACGTGACTTGCCGGGGCAGAGTTTCAGGTCGATTGTAATGACCTTCTGCAGTACGCGCTCCAAGCCTGCAAGATGAGCGTCAAACGTGGAGGTGTACAACAGCGTATCGTCCAAGTACTGAGTCACGCACGCGTCCGGGCCCTGAATTTCCTCCTTGAGCAGCTCGTCCATCATAAGCTGGTATGTCCCCGGAGCGCCCGTGAGTCCGAACGGCATGCGAAGAAACTCGTACAGGCCCCTGTGGGTCAGAAAGGCTGTTTTGTGTACGTCGTCCGGGTGCACGGGAATCTGCCAGTAGCCCGCCTGCGCGTCCAGCGTGGTGAAGTAGCGCGCCTCTCCAAGGCGATCGAAAATTTCCGAGATGCGGGGCAGTGGGAACCTGTTTGGTACTGTCGCCTTGTTGAGCGCCCTGTAGTCAACGCAGAACCGCCACTTCCCGTTCTTCTTGCGGGCTAGTACCACGGGCTGAGCGTAAGGGCTGGTGGAACGGCGAATTACGTGCCAAGCCTCCATCGGGTCAACCTGCTTGTCAATCTCCTCCTTCTCAAACGGGCTGTGCAGGCGGCCTGCCCTGCGGATGGGCGGGTGGTCGCCCGTGTCAATGCGGTGGTAAATGCCGCGTACCAGCCCCAAATCACCAGGATCCTTGGAGAACGCGTGCGGGTACCGGCGAAGCAAGGCGATCATTCTGGCCTTCTCGTCCGGGCTGAGGCTAGCGGCGAGCTGGAGTTGCGGCTCCACGGCGCGCCACTGCTCCTCGTCGCTGAGCCGGGGAAGGGGCGCTGCTTCCACGGTGGGCAGGGTGGCCGCGACGCGAACGGTGTCAGGTGGTGACGAGTCGCTCCGGGCTGGCTCCTGGCAATCATCTGGTAAGACCTCGACGCGAAAGCCTTTCCCTAGTACCAGCGGAAGCAGATCCGACCGTAGCAGGTAGCAAACCTCGTCCACGTCGTGGCCCCGAAACAGGTGGTGGTAGTGTTCAGATAGGTCTTCGTACTCCTCGGAGCTGATTCGGGACAAGGTCAGAAGATGGTCGAGCAGGCGCCGCACCTCGTGCATAGAACGGAACATGATTCCAAAGGTGTAGTCCTGGTCCACCTGCGGAGTCCCATTAAAGTCAGAGACCCACTCTATGTCGCTCTCGTCGACCTCTCCGTGACCCGGCCCGGTCCGGCGGCGTGGGGCTCCCGTTCGGCTTGGGGAGCCCGCCTTCGGGGCCAGGGTCTGGATCGCGCTTGGCGGGTGGGCGAGCGGCGTCTGCTGTCTCTTTGCAGGTCCGCTGGACTTTGCGAGCACGTCCGCTCAAGAACGTGGCAGGGGAAAGCCGTAACCCCATGGGAATCGACGCGAAGCGCCCCCTGCAGTCGGCCGTCACCGGGAACCCGGGAGCGCAGCCACGCCGGACCGATCACTACCACGGGCAGGTAGCTCTGCTGAGCGGAAGTAGTCGTCAGGCTCCTCGTCGTCGGATTCCTCGCCAACTAGCGGCGGTGGCTCGTCCTGGTTGTCCGGGTGCATTTCCGGCGGCGAGCCCTGGCCGCAGTTTTGAGCAGATCCAGCTGCATCCCGCGCTACTTCGGACGGCCCGTCCCTTTCTGGGTCCCTGCTAGGCCCGTCCGGGGGTGCGCCCGGCGAAGGGTCGTCGCCGCTGTGCCCCTCAGGGTTGGAAGGCCTCTCCTCGCTCCACGAATTGCGGGGCATCATCGACACGATTCCTGTACGCATGTCAACCTGGAAGCGCCACCCAGGTACGCGGCGGGGCACATGACGTGGAGGACGCCTTGGGGCTGTCCTTGCAGCCCGCGCTGTGGATTCCTCGTCCTCGCTCTCCGAATCGGAGTCGCCAGGCAGAAGATCTGGGAGGTCGTCATCAGTCGCCTCGCCGGATAGCTCCTCCCTGCACAAGAGATCAAGGTCGGCGGCGCGTTCTTCCTCAGGATCCTCGAGTTGTTCCTCCGGAGCTTCCACCAGCGGCGGCACGTCCTCGTCTGAGCCTGGCGCGTCATCGGGTAAATTGTTTTGCGCTGGCGCAGCGAGAGTGTGCTGTCTGTTCTCCGCCAGACCATCTGTCCACGGCGCAGCGGGTAGAACGAGCGCGTGAGGGACCATAAACTCGCTCAGGTCCAGAAGGCCGGCTTCGTCCGGGGCCTGGTGCAGGTCGTCGTCTGGAAAGTTGTAGCGGAACAGTGACGATGTCCTCCGGTCCGAGCGGGGCCTGCGTGCCGGTGCGCGAGCGCCGGGCCTAGCGCGGACAGAGCTCGTGGCCACCGAAACGCGCGGCCTGCATTGTACACCCCGCGGATCGACCAAAGGCAGGGCCAGGCGGCGTTTGCTGTACGGTAGCTGAAACTCGAACCGCTCCTTCTCGAAGTTGATGTGCCCGTTGATCGCTCGCATAGACGTCGTGCCCAAGAGAAGATCGTAGTTGATGTGGTCTTGCACAATGAAGCGGGAGCCCAGCTCGAAGCTGCTGCCCATGCCAATTAGAGTGTCCACCCAACCAATTGCTACGGTCTCGCGCCCGTCCGCACCTGTAAAAGTGGGTTTGCCCTTCCTGAACTTCGCACCCAAGTCTGCCCTCATCATAGTTTTGAAGGCCATCACGTTCACGTCCGCGCCAGAGTCGATGCCTCTCGGGCAACGAAGCGCGTCCACGCCTCCAATGCGCACTGGAATGAAAGCGATAGGAGTCTTCTTTAGCGGGTCGACGAACACCCGCTCCACCGTGCCTCCTCCTTCAACCTTGCGAATTGTGCTCGCTGGTACCAATCTGCGGGCGCCCTGCCTGGCCAGTGATTGACCAGCCTTACGCGCGGTGCTCGCTATTTCGCTAACCATGCTTGGGCTTCCGTGCTGAATCAGGGTGTCAGTGGGAACCCAAGCGACCGGGAACGTCCCAGTGACGGTGGGCACGTTGCTGGCGCCCATCTGTGCGGACGACGCCATACCTCCTGCATCCTCATTAGGAGCGGCGCACCCTAGAGGACGCGCGTGCTGAGCAAGAATTTGAGCGGGTTGCGTGACGGCGGCCTATGAAACAGCTGGGGCGGACGGCGCCGCAGGTCGGCTCATAGTCGCAGGAGCGGCCCGCGGTGCGAGCGAAGGTGACTGCATCGTTCCTGGTCGCATCCCGGAATTAGCCGTGAGGCCGCCCTCGGAATTGTTAACCTGGACAGGGACGACGGGCGGAACCACCAGTACCGGCGTCCGATTGGGGGGCATCCGCAACCTGGCCCCGTGGTCGTCCAAAACATACGGTCCTTGCCGTGCCATCAAAACGGTGGGGTCGTCTGCCTCATCGTCCTCCTCCTCGTACAAATCCAGGTCGGGATCATCTTCCCACCCGAACACGGTCAGGTCCAAAACGCGAACCGTGGAAGGGTCTCCGTGCTCAGCGCCCTGAATCTCGAAAGTTTTTGTAGCTTTCGTACGGGGACGCCACTCCGCTGCCGTAAGTCCAATGAGCGGTGTTGGGACCGTCAATGGGCGGAAGCGGGCACTCCTGCTTGAAATGACCTGCCTTCCCGCAGTTCCAGCACGTGCGGGGACGCCCGTCTGGGCCCCGGCCTCGGCCCCTGCCCCTCCAGGGTCCGCTTCGTCCTCCGCGATCCTGGTATTGGCCGCGGTCTTGTGGGTCACGTTCTGGCTGGTTCTCCTGACGCCTGGCCGGCGGGCCAGCCTGTTGGCGCCCGTTCCCCTCGTGGTGAGGATGCGGTGAGGGGGCGCGCGCCTCTTCGTGGGCAGGCTTCTCCGATTCTACTGCAAGCCTGACAGTCCGCCTGGGGCTGCGGTCGCGCCCGGAGCGTTGCTTGACCTCCAGTTGGTGAATGATCTCCTCCGCAGCCTGTACGGCTTCGTCCATCGTGCGGTAGGTCTGGCCCAACATTCGGTCCTGCACCTTTTCCGGAAGCGCCTTCCTGAAATAGTAGATGCGCGCACCGTCGTCCGCAATCTTGGCCTGCTCAAACATCTCGCCCATGCGAACGGAAAAGTCGTAGGCTGTCTCGCTCGTATCCATGCGCATGATGTCAATCCGGTTTAGGGAGTCCGCCATCTTGACGTGCCCGTACTGCTTGAGGAACATCCCTTTGAGCAACTCCCAATCGTCTTGAAGCTCGCGGTCGTACCTGGCTTTGTAACCGCGCTCCTCTGCGTAGAACCACGCGCTCGCTGTCCCTGTCAGATTGTAGGCGAGGGCCATACTTTTCTGGCGGTCCGTGACGTCGCGGTTGCCACTGAATAGCATCTCGAGCGAGGAGATGAAGTTGTACGCGGCCGGGCCCATCTCGCGCTTCTGTCCCTTGAACGCGGCCACTTTGGGGGGCTGATGAATCTTCACGAGCTTGTTGGCAGGTGCTCGGACTTCCGCGGGCAGGACTGGGGCCACTGCGTAAGTAGGCGGTGGAACAAACGCGGGGCGCAGACCTGCATACTGATCTGGGGCGTAGGCAGCTTGGCCGTAGACGTTACCTGAATGTGCCATGGGTACCGCGGGGGCAGCGGGTAACTGGACCGGCGCTCCGCCCTGTGGGATATGAGTCGCGGTCACATACACTGGTGCTGGAATATGGCCTCCGGCGCTGGGCACCGGCGCAGGAGGAGGCGGGGCCCCGTGCATCACGTATGCTGGCGGGTAGACGGGTGCACCGTACACTCCTGCAGAGACCTGACCAGCCGTCGGGCCAGGTACAACGTAAGAAGTGTCAAACGTCCCTGACTGAGCAAATCCCGCGGGCGGCGTAGGTGCGGGAGGTCTGTGCCCGGCTCCAACACCTGAGGCGGCTTCCTGGCAAACCCGCTCAGCTCCCTTGATGCTGGGGCGTACGGATAACCCCTCATCGTGGGCTGAGGCCCCTGAACCTGATCCAACAATCCTGTCGCTTCTGTGCGCCCCACCGTGGGCGCCCTCGGTTCTGCCGCAGGTGCATTTGCTGGCGGGGGGAAGACGTACCCAGGAGCAAGGGCAATTGGGGCCTGCATATTAAACGCCGGGTAGCCATCTTCCCTCGCCCTGTACCTGATCGCTTCGACCTGAGTCTCTTGACCCTGGCCCAGGCCGCGGGTCAGTGCGCTCTGCGCTGGGGTTTCGTGTAATGCCCTGGTCGTTCCCCCGCCAAACTGCACATCGCGAGCGGTATCGTGATGCGTCAATCGCTGAGTTGCACCTGCGCCTGCGTGAATGGACGGATTGAATAGCCACTCCGGGCGAAGTCCCCGCGCCTCGCTAATAAACCCTGGTGCTCGCTGTTCTGCAGAGGCGCGCGCGGGCTGAGGGGTCAAGAAGGCAGGCCGTGCTTGTTCGAACGGGGCACCTGCATTCTGAACCTCGTTCCGCAGACTAGGTGAGCCAGTCCGCTCGTCTCTGAAGGTCTCCCGCTCGGCCCTCAGAAGTCCTCCCCGCGGGGATAGCCGAGGCCACTCCTCGTCGTCACTCGGCTCGCGCCCAATCTCGCGCGCTGAAGCGCGAACGCCTCCGCCACCTGCCTGTTGGAATGCCAAGTTCTGAGCAGCCCGCAGCTCGTCCTCCACCTTCACTTCACGTTTGGACTGAGCCTGTTGAGAAATTTGAACACCTCGAACGCGCACGTCCTGAGATGCCATTTCCTGAGGGCCCTCAAGTGCGGTGGTGTCCCACAAGTCTTGCCTCTGGGTATGGTCACGGACTTCACCGTCCGTTCTCTCTCCCTCCCGAGCGGCTCCCATTTGGGCTGCATCTGGGGGGGGCCTGGTATCACGGGCTGGCTCTTGAGGCCCCACTTCAACGCCTGTACCGGGTTCTTGCGCAGCACCTCCGCGGAGCAGCGTTCCCTGGCGAGTAGTGATGCCAATCAACTCTGTTGGAATACCGCTGTACGCCATCTAGTTGTGGGTACTCGTCCAACTTCCCGTGCAACGGAGTCTTCAAATCTTTAACACGCTCCCTGCTTGACCGCAAGGCTGATCACTTTCTCCCCTGCTTGACCGCAGAAGATAAGGTCCTCCCCGCTTGACCACGGGCAGACTTCACGTCCTTCTCTGCTCGACCGCAAGAATCCTGACCTCCCCGCTTGACCACGGGCAGACCACGTTCCGCTCCACTTGACCGCGGAGTCTTCAGGTCCTTTCCTGCTTGACCGCAGGAATTACGTGCTCTCCCGCTTGACTACGGGCAGACCACGTTCAGCTCCACTTGACCGCGGAGTCTTCAGGTCCTTTCCTGCTTGACCGCAGGAATCACGTGCTCTCCCGCTTGACCACGGGTGTAACGATTACGACTGGTTAAGCCTAACCTCGTT